TAAAAAAAAAAAAAAAAAGTTCTTGAGAGGGAAAGATGGTGAGTTGTAATTGAGAGGAGAAAACATAAAATCCACAAATTAATACTTTTGTTTTGAGTGTGGACATAATAGGCATATATTAAATATTTGATATTTTCAAATATTTGGATTAAGAAGTCCTGCATATTAATGTATCTAAAAAATTAAACTTGCAATTCCAATTTAAAATGTTACTGAATAACTGGTTTGGGCTTATAATTTTAAGTTGAGAAATATATTTAGAAGTTTACAAAATCCATAATTATCATATTTGGAAGAGTTGAGTACTTGTATGATATTGTGTAATATATATTTGGTCTTCATCCCAGTTTTCTGGCTTAATACTCTTAAAATCCCTGGAATCTCCAAACTGGTAATTTTTGTTTGATATTAGGTTGACTGGTGCCTGGAGGCTCCTGGATAGCCTGAGGAGCAGGACTGGTTTCCAGGGGAGCCAACCCTCAACCTCCAAGAAGGGAAGAGGGGCTGTAGGATGAATTGATCACTGTATTAGTCCTTTCTCACGCTGTTATGAAGAAATACCCAAGACTGGGTAATTTATAAAGAAAAGAGGTTTAATTGACTGACAGTTCCATATGGCTGGGGAGGCCTGGGGAAACTTACAACCATGGCGGAAGGTACCTCTTTCACAGGGCAGCAGGGAAGAGAAATGAATACCAAGTGAAGGGGGAGCTCCCTTATAAAACCATCAGAGCTCATGAGAACTCACTGATTATCATGAGAACTGAATGGGAGAAATGCCCCATGATTCAATTATCTCCACCTGGTCCTACCCTGGACACATGGGGATTATCACAATTCAAGGTGAGATTTGGGTGGGGACACAGAGCCAAGCCACTTCATTCCACCCTGGCCCCTTCCAAATCTCATGTCCTCACATTTCAAAACACAATCATGCCCTTCAAACAGTCCCCCAAAGTCTTAACCCATTCCAGCATTAACTCAAAAGTCTAAGTCCAAAGTCTCATCTGAGACAAGCAAGTCCCTTCCATCTATGACCCTGTAAAATCAAAAGCAAGTTAGTTACTTCCTGGCTACAATGGGGCTACAGGCATTGGGTAAATACACTCATTCCAAATGGGAGAAATTGGCCAAAACTAAGGGACTACAGGCCCCATACAAGTCCAAAATCCAGAAGGGTAGTCACATTTTAAAGCGCTGAAATGATCTCTTTGACTCTATGTCTCACATCCAGGTCACTGATGCAAAGAGGAGAGTTCCCTCGGCCTTGGGTAGCTCCACTCCGTGGCTTTGCAGGGTACTGCTCCCCTCCTCGTTGGTTCATGGACTGGCATTGAGTGTCTGTGGCTTTTCCAGGCACATGGTGCAAGCTATCAGAGCTGCCATTCTGGGGTCTGGAGGACAGTGGCCCTCTTCTCACAGCTCCATTAGGCAGTGTCCAATTGGGACTCTGTAGGAGGAGGGGTCTCCAACCCCACATTTCCCTTTCACAGTGCCCTAGCACAGGTTTTCCATGACGGATCCACCACTGCAGCAGACTTCTGCCTGGACATCCAGGCATTTCCATACATTCTCTGAAATCTAGGCAAAGGTTCCCAAACCTCAATTCTTGACTTCTGTACATCCACAGGCCCAACACCACATGTAAGCCACCAAGGCTTGATGCCAGCATCCTCTGAAGCAACAGCCTGATATGTACATTGGCCCCTTTTAACCACAGCTGGGATGCAGGGTACCAAGTCTAGAGACTGCACAAAGTAGCAAGGCGCTGGGCCCCACCCAAGAAACCACTTTTTCCTCCTAGGCCTCTGGGCTTGTGAGGAAGACCTCAGATATGCCCTGGAGACCTCTGATACGCCCTGGAGACATTTTCCCCATTGTCTTGGTGATTTGGCTCCTTGTTACTTAGGCAAATTTCTGCAGCCTTCTTTAATTCTTCCCCAGAAAATGGGGTTTTGTTTTCTATTGCATCATCAAGCTGTAAATTTTCCAAACTTTTATACAATGTAACCTCTTGAATAGTCTGCTGCTTAGAAATTTCTTCCACCAGATACTCTACATCATCTCTCTCAAGTTCAAAGTTCCACAGATCACTAGGTCAGGGGCAAAATGCCTCCGGTCTCTTTGCTAATAAAGCATAGCAAAAGTCACCTTTATTCCAGTCCCTAACAAATCCCTCATGTCCATCTAAGACCACCTCAGCCTAGCCTTTATTGTCCATATCACTACCAAGCAGTTTGGTCAAAGCCATTCAACAAGTCTCTAGGAAGTTCCAAACTTTCCCATATATTCCTTTCTTCTGAGCCCTCCAAACTGTTGCAACCTCTGCCTGTTACCCAGTTCCAAAGTCACTTCCACATTTTAGGGTATCTTTACATCAGCATTCCACTACCTGGTACCAATTTACTGTATTAGTCTGTTCTTATGCTGCTATGAAAAATACCTGAGACTGGGTAATTTATAAAGAAAAGAGGTTTAATTGGCTCACAGTTCTGCATACGGGGAGGCCTCAGGAAACTTACAATCATGGCCAAATGCACCTCTTCACAGGGCAGCAGGAGAGAGAAATGAGTACCCAGTGAAGGGGGAAGCCCCTTATAAAACCATCAAATCTGGTGAGAACTCTCTCACTATCTCAAGAACAGCATGGAGGAAACCACTCCCATGATTCAATTATCTTCACCTGGACCTGCAGTTGACATGTGGGGATTATTACAATTCAAGGTGAGATTTGGGTGGGGATACAAAATCAAATCATATCAATCACCAATAGTCAAGAAATTATGTAATCAATCATGACTACATAATGAAGCTTTTATAAAAACCCAAAAGGCCTGGGTTCAGGAGCTTCATGATACCTAACACAGGGAGATTTCTGGAGTATGGCATGCCCATGAAGCTCCAGGGCCCTTCCTACATACTTTGTCTCATGCAATTTTGCATTTCTATCCTTTGTATTAATAGTATCTCCAGGTAGACAGTGTCAGAATCGAATTGAAGGACACCCAGCTGGTGTCTGCTGAAGCACCTGCTGCAGAACTGGTTGACTGCTGAATGTTTAAGGACACCCCCACACATCTGCTGTCAGAAGTGTTCCATGCTGTGATAGTACCGTAGGAGAACTCAGTTTGTTTTTTCTGTAGCCTCTCAACTTGCAAACATTTGTCAGATAATTTAAATCCTTAAAAATGAATACTAAATTTACAAATGAAATTTGATGGGGTCTTAAGCTACTTAAAAAAACACCTTTTTAAATTATTGTTAAAATATGTTAGATATGTAGAGTTGAGTTTTAAATTCTTAGTTGTTTAATTTATAGCTTTTTTTTTTTTTT